ATGAAAAAGATAGAAGAAGGTGGAATGAAGAAGAAAGAAGAAGGTAAAATAAAAGAAATTGGGTGAATAATTTGATATATATTGAGGGTCAACTTTGTCATTTTACCATTAAAATATTTTAATTTTTTTAATTCTATTTCAATGTTGTCAGAGGCCATTTCTCCAAAATGGGTTATTTGGCCAAATTTCCCATTTTTCGGAGAGGAAGAAATTTTTTTTGAGAACACTTGTAATATTATTTTATCAAAAAATTTCTGATTCACGAGAAGAGAGAAAAATTAACGGGGCAAACCAGGGCTAAATCTGCAAACAAGATCAAGTATCCATCTCATTCTTAACCTGCTACATCTTTGGTTTTTATACCTCTCTCTGTATAGAGAGCTGGATTGGGTACTTATCTGGGTTTTGTCTGTGCCGTCTCTGATCCACGACTCTAGAATTCTAATTTTCCACTACTGCCGGCGAGATCTCCGATCAGGTTATATATCTCTCCTCGGTACATTGCATTCTGTACTGCTAGTTGTTAATTTTGGATGGAAAGTTATTGGTTTTTTTAGTGATTGAAAATTTGATATTGGATTGGTACTTAGTCCCCTATTGGAATTTTCTAATGGGTTGGGGACGTTGGAGTTTTGGGAGATCGGGTTTGTTTATACTTGCTGTGATTCACTGATTTGCATGCTTTTGCGGTTCAATTATGTGGGACTTATGCTGCCTTGTATTTTGTTTCTTTGAATTTCTACTCTGACGGGGCTTGGGCGTTCATTTTAGTTGTGCAAATCACTATGATTTAATGGTAAAAATTAAATTTTTTATACATAAAAAATACTTGATAATTAGTTATCCTCTGTGATATAATGCCACGTGGGTTTAGGTGGTGAAATGTTTCGGGTTTATATATTGTGTAATACACCATTCTTTTAGATGATAATAATGATTTGATGACAATGTGCATTATTGTTATTTTGAGGTAAATTGTGTTCTTAGCATGTCACTGAAGCAAAGGAATTTGCATTGGTTCTAGATTAGTAACTTACTGGCAGTTCAAATATTCAAGTTGTCATGCTTTTGCGAAATGAAATCTTTTATGAACCATTAACTGAAGTAAATTGGAGGCGCTTTATGCCCTCTTGCTAAATTGCTGGTGCACAGCGAGAGGAGATTATCAAATATATTCCAAATAATTTTTTTTTACTAATTATTTATATGCTACATAGTTGCATTATCACATATATCATTCAATATCTCAATACTTCAAACTAACTATCAATTTGAACCTTGCACCGATTTGGTCTGAACTAATAAGTTATTGTACATTGTGCTTCAACTTGTTATTTTGTTTATTTTTTGATCTTTTGTTTTGTATAATGCCGTGCTGCATTACAGAAGCTTAGCCTTTTTAAGGAGACCAAGTGCAAGACTTAATATTTATGGGGACTGAAAATCCTAAACATCCAACTTACCCGTTAAGACCAGGTGCCACACCGTTTTCTGCTCCACAAAGTGCGACACCTTTTGTATCATCTGGTCCTGTGGTTGGGCCAGAAGCATCTGCTTTCAGGGCTGCCCCTCCTGCTTCGTCTCAGTTTCCAACACCTCCCTTCTCGTCTGGGCCTTCGGTCGGATCAGATGCCTCTGGTCCAGGATATAGACCTCCACCACCAGGTAGGTCTAATGAAATAGTTAGGCCACCTCCACAACCACAGCCATATTTGTCAAATGGCCCACCAGTGGCAGAACCTTTCCAGTATTTCCCGTCCCCACAATTTACCTCAACAGGTCAAGTACTGCCTCCACACACATTTGGGCAGCCAGCTGTACCTCCACCAACTAGACCTCCTGCAGGTACCATTTCATCTCCTCCCGTTTCTCTTCAACCATATCAGCAGCCTGCTCCAATATCCATGGGATCTCCTTCTCAGAGCATAAAAACTGGGCAATCAAGCACGAGTTTTCCTCCATCTGCTGATCAACCCTTCTCTCCTCCCAGACCAAATGTTCAATCATCTTCACTACCAATGGGGCCATCTTATCCCACTGCCAGAGGCAATTTCCAACCAGCCTTTCCTGGATATGCTAGTATACAACCTAGTAGTGTCACTCAAGTTCCTGTGCAGTCTGATTCATTTGCATCAAAGCGAGGAGGCTATGGTCCACCTGCACCACCGGCACCTTTTCTGGCTCAACAAAGAGGTTATGTGCCTGGTCCACCAATTTCAGCTCCAACGGGCCTCTATTCAAGGGACCAAATGCAACACCATGGAATTGCACCTCCCATTGCTACGTCACAGGGATTGGCCGAGGACTTCAATTCACTCTCGCTTGGGTCTGTACCAGGATCTTTTAATACAGGACTTGATCCTGCAGCCTTGCCGAGGCCATTGGAGGGTGATGTGGAACCAAAGTCTTTTGCTGAGATGTATCCCATGAATTGTAGTTCTAGATATCTACGACTAACGACAAGCGGTATACCAAATTCACAGTCATTGGCATCAAGGTGGCATTTGCCTCTTGGAGCAGTAGTTTGCCCTCTGGCAGAAGCGCCTACCGGGGTTAGTCTTGACTCATTTAGAAAATTTTGTGTTTGTTTGCTTATCCTTTACTTTAAATCTCATTTAGAAAAGTTTGTGTTTGTTGTGAATAAATATTTGTTCAGGAAGAAGTTCCAATTGTTAATTTTGCTACAACTGGCATCATTCGTTGTAGAAGATGCCGCACTTATGTCAATCCATACGTCACTTTTGCAGACCATGGAAGAAAGTGGAGGTGCAACATATGTTCATTGCTCAATGATGGTAATTTTTTCTTTTGTCTAACTTGGAGATGCTAGAATCTATCCTTTATTTTTTTGGATCTTCTCGATTTACTGGTTAATAATGAATAGTTTCATGAATCTTATGGTTACATCAAGTGTGTTCTTATTATTAACAAATCTCTCTATACTTTTATAGCCTTAGTATTTGGTTAACTATCGTGTTAGACGCCTTTCCTTTATACTAATCACAAAACTCACTGAATAGCAATGCTTTACTTGCTACAGAAAGAAAATGAAAAAAAGGCTGTCTGACTCATTTTCTTGCTAATTTTATTGATTGGTATCTTATTTCAGTCATGGTATTCCAATTTTCAGTGGACTTCTACTGAGTTGCTTGTATCACATTTTCCTTCAGTTTTTCTCATTAAGTTAGTCACACAATTTTTTCATACAATTCTTGAAAGCTATCTTCACCTCCCTAGTGAAGTATTACCACTGGAAATTATATTAATGGTTTTAATTTGATCCTGTATATCTATCTATACATGTGCAGACACATTAATGCCAGTTTGTCGTTCAACTTGAGCAATTGAAAGCTGATAAATAATTTGAAGGAGTGGGAGTGTCCCATTATGATTTAGATCAAAAGCATTCCATTCATAGACATTCTTAATGGGGACACATAACCTAATGGTCTGCCTAGTAGGGTACTGTATAAATCCTTAATGGAACTAGAGGGAATATCCTGTACAATATCAACCCATTCCGTGTCAGATTCTCTATTTTGTATGTTTTGCAGATTTTTAAAAATATTTAAGATAGTTTATCCTTGCTGTAGATTTTATCTGTTTCTATAACTTTGATGAAGCGTGGGCTAATCTATCTTAATTCTCCATTTCTAGTTCCTGGTGACTATTTTGCACATTTGGATGCTAGTGGCAGAAGAGTTGATTTGGATCAACGTCCTGAGCTTACAAAGGGTAGTGTTGAGTTTATTGCTCCAGCTGAATACATGAGCCGCCCTCCAATGCCACCATTGTACTTTTTCCTCATCGATGCATCAATATCTGCAGTTAAAAGTGGAATGCTTGAGGTAATTTTGTAAGGGTTTTTAAGTTACATAATTCTGAGGAATGCACTACAGACGCTCTTCGTCTACGACTCTTAATGTTTTTAATGAATTTATGGATTTTGGTTTAAAATAACTTTCAAGCATTCTCTCGGACTTGGCGCTTTACCTATTACCCTTTTCTAATATATATATATATATGGGTTAATTTCACAAATGGTCACTGAAGTTACAACAAAATTTCAAGATTCTTAGGGTTTCATCTACAGCAAATGAGAGCGGTATAAGAATTCTACATTCGATATCGAAGTTCTCAGCAACTCCTGGAGTTTTACAAGAAATGTTGCAGATTGGTGTAGTGGCAAAATTATGTCCGGTATTTGAAGTTTTTGATCGAGGATCAAAGACAAAGGATGTCTTTTTGATGAAAAAGGGCAAAATCGCACTTCAAGTCCTCTAATTTTGCAAGGGTTTTGTTTTGTTAATTTAAGTTTCAATTAGAACAAAAAAGTCCNGACCGTTTATGCAAGTTTTGAACTTCAGTGACCATTTTGAAATTCTGCTATAACTTCAGTGACCATTTGTGAAATTAACCCATATATATATATTATTTTTTTTTTCTGTTAAATCTTCTTGTTTCCTTTCCCGAAGAGGAATGCACATTTTTTTATGTTTTGAATTATTTGATTTTGTAGCCTTACCGGTATGGTACCTTGTTAGCAATTTGTTTGATTTTATATTGGTTTCACTTTCTCCAGTTGGATTTCTCGAAACGCTTATTTCCTTTGATCTTGATTTTTCCTATATTTGTTATTGATTAAGCTTGGACATGATCCGATTCAGTTATAAATAGAATCGAATTGAACCCGAATTTTCGGGTATTTAATAAGTGGAGCCGTCGAGTCCAAATTTAATTATGGAACCATTCGGGTTCGGTTCGATCTGGTTTCATTCGGTTTCCGTACAATTAAATTTTTTAATATTAACAACAACGCTACATTAATTCAAGTAATGACATGTTCAATTTTAGCTCTTACAAAATATTGAAGTCCAATTCCGTGATATCTTTTGCGACTCTCTTTGGTTGAGTTCTTCATAGATTTAGCCATTAAAATCAAATGGATAGGAAGATAGTGAGCTCACAATAATGAAGAGAGGCGCGGCCAGCTTCCAATTCGATTTCTCTAGAACGGCGGTAGAATAAGAGATTTGGGTAAAGTTTAGATCAATTTGATTAAGTTGGATTTGAGCTTTAAATTAGAAATATGAAAATCATATTTTGAGTTTTGGCTAAATTGATTAGTCAGCAAATTTATTTAGAAAAAAAATAAAATAATTTGACTTATTTAAGATTTAAAAATTGGGAGATTCGATTTTTCGATTCTTGGTCTAGAATCGAGAATCGAACCAAACTCATCAGTTCTCGATTCAGATACTATTCGGGTATTTAACTTAAGAAGAATCACTCGGTTCAGTTCGTGAGTTTTGTCCAACCAAAATCTTGATACAAGCGAGTTGAGATGGATGTGTTTCTTAATTTATGCTCACAAAACATTCGACCATCCTTGTTGATAACCATCTTAGTAAAATGATTTGCATGTGTCAAGTTATTCTGCAGAAAAATTAAGAGTGCATTTGATTTGCTGTTTTCAAGCTGTATTCAGTTTTCAGTTTTGCAAAACATTGAAAACGTATTTGGACTAATATTTCTAAAAATGCATTTTAGAAAACAAGGTTAAACTTATGACGTAAAATCAAAACGCATTTTTGACTTTTTGAGTGTTTTTCGAGTGAAAATTTTGAAAACACTTAAAACATGGAAAACAAGCATTTAAATAAAATTTTAAAAAATAAATTTTTTTGAAAAAATAAAATCTAAAATTCTGAAAAACTAAATTATATAAAAAAATAAAATTCTAAAAAATAAAAAATAAAAATTCTAAAAAAATAAAATTATAAAAATTTCTAGAAAAAAAAAAGTTTATGCTTAATGATTATCTCCTTAAAAATTCTAAAAAATATTTATATGAACGTAGTTCTGAATTCCTTTCATTAATTTTATATTTCTTATATTTTGATCTCAATTTTTATTATTATTATTATTTTATTTTATTTTATTTTACGTTTGTAATGGCAAAAAATATTGTAAGATTCACCAACTTTAAAATGTATATATTACTTGATAATATATTTACATAAATTTTTTATATTTTTACCGAATAATCAAATTTTATGAAATAAAATGTTATAAAACAATATTTCAAAATTCAAATCAAACCCGTTCTCTAATTTTATGTTTTGAGAAATAATTTTTTAAAATGACAAACAAAACGTGTTTCTAACAATGTTAAAACAGACTTTCAAAATATAAAACTGAAAATGAACTCAAAATTGAAAACTGAAACACAAACCATGAAACCAAACTGACCCTAAAATTCCCATGTTGATTGCCATGTTACTAACATTGATTTGCATGTTTTATGAATCCCAATTCAACTCAATCCCATATATATTTTGCAGGTAGTAGCACAAACTATTAAATCTTGTTTAGACAGTTTACCGGGTTATCCCCGAACACAAATTGGCTTCATAACTTTTGACAGCACAATACATTTCTATAATATGAAGGTAAGCGATCCAATTTACCATTAATTTTACAGGATTGTAGCTTAACTTTGTTTTGGTGAATAAGCTGTTTCTTTCTCTTGTACCCAGTCATCTTTAGTGCAGCCTCAGATGATGGTCGTAACAGACTTAGATGACATATTTATTCCGTTGCCAGATGATCTTCTCGTCAACTTGTCAGAATCTAGACCTGTGGTGGATGCATTCCTTGATAGCCTGCCCTCCATGTTTGAGGGCAACATGAATGTGGAATCAGCATTTGGTCCAGCTCTTAAAGCGGCATTCATGGTTATGGTGTGTTTTATTTCTTTTTATCTTCACCAATTATACTTTTGATCAAACCGTACTTTATTGTTTTGGTTATTTTAGCCTTTATAAGAGCATCTTTGGCTAATCTTTGAAAAGGTGAAGTCAATTTTAAGTATCTTTTTGTCTTCACACACGTTCGATTGACTTACTCTTTCTCCCTTAAAGAGAAAAAAAGTTAATTTTTTTAAGTAACTTCGATAACTAAAAAACTATATATTTAATTTAAAACTCATTTATGTATTAGTTTTGAAGGTTAGCCAACCATGTTGTAAGTTTCGCTCTTTATTAGTCGGTTGTCCATGTCATTGGAAAGTTATTTTCCATAGCTTATACTAATTCATATATTCTTCCCATCACCAGAGTCAACTTGGTGGTAAACTGTTGATTTTCCAAAATACACTGCCATCACTGGGTGCGGGCCGTCTGAGGCTACGTGGCGATGATAATCGTGTTTATGGAACAGACAAGGAGCATGCATTAAGAGTACCAGAAGATCCGTTTTATAAACAGATGGCTGCTGATTTTACGAAGTATCAGATAGCTGTAAATGTATATGCATTCAGTGACAAGTACACAGATTTAGCATCCCTAGGTATGTTCAAGTTCGAGTTTTTTTTCTTATAAAAAAAAAAAAACTAAACCAGAAACCTAGAATGATAATGTCAAGAATATCTAAGAATTGATTTGTTATTATTTGTTAATGGGTCTTTAATATCTTAGATATCTTCTGCAATTATAGTTGATTAGGTTACATTTATGTGATTGCCGGATCAAAAAATTGAAAGTTTTCTTCAAATATCTCTTTGTGTTGGTTTTAAAAAATTAGAATTTTAAATACCTTAAACAATGCATGAATATAGAAAATGTTGTGCACAAGAAAACGAGTGGAGGTTGTGTGATATGATGTAAAATAAGTAATTTCTAATTAGTTTGACCAATAAAGTAACACAAAATAACCTTACTGAAACACCCGAGGTTACCTGACTATTATAGACATCCCTTGGTTTTCAGAAACCTTCCTGAAGTTTATTTCTCGTAATAGATTTCCGATGTTATAAAAAAGCAATTTTGTATTTCCCATTTAACCCCTTTGCTTTATACTATTTGAAATGCTTGTTATTTTATATTTAAACTATATTTTCCGTTCTTTTTCTTATTTATTATTAAAATATACAGTTTCATACTTTTGATTCAGATGAGATCATTAGTTTAGGTGAAAGAAATGCCATAATTTATATTGTTATACTATTTAAAAAAAAACTACAAAATATGATTTATTTTTTTTAAAAAGTTGTATGTTTTGCAAATACATATGACAAGTAATTAAGAAATCAAAATAAATACATGTTTTAGAATAATTTAATTAAGCTAATTAAAAATTCGTTAAATACTTTATATCGCTTGGTTTAATAGCATTTTCTCTAAATTTTAGTTTTTATGCTCTGAACATTTATACTATATAAAAAATTAAAGTAATATTACCATAGCACTAAAAATGCACTAAGTTCGCATCAATGGTTTCAATCTTAGATTTATTTTAGTTCCTTTTACTAGTAAAACTTTTAGACCAATTTTATCATTTTTTTAAATGAGAAATTGATTTTCACAGAATTATGATTAAGGCTTGTGAGACAAAGCTTTTGATAAAAATTTTAGTAGATTTTGATTAAAGTTGATGAAATATATGGTCGAAATATGAAATTTATGGTTAAAATTGAAGTTTGGCCAATTGAAAAATTGGCAAAGTTTTATCAAACAAGTGGGTAGAATTTAGGAAGTTAATCTAAACTTCTGATTTTTAAACTTAGAACCCTGTATTTGGACTTTGGAGTTATATGTAGTCAAATAAATAAAGAAGAGCCCTCAAGCATGTCATATGATGATCGTGTCAAGATGTGTCAGATTATTATCATGTACTATGTACATTTCTTGTACTGTTCTCCCAAGCCTCCTGTGACTTGTTCATAATGCTTTACATCTTTTGCAACTTCTGCTATTGAATTTCTCTACTTTTCTTGGTTTCTGAAATAGGAAAAAATTAGCTGGTCAATGTTGGATATTGCTTGCTATTTCTAGATTACAGTCATCTTAAAATTATCATCTCGTAATGCATTGTATAGGAACACTCGCAAAATATACTGGTGGTCAGGTTTATCATTATCCTAGTTTCCATTCTACCATTCATGGAGATAAGTTGAGACATGAGTTAACCAGAGATCTTACAAGAGAGACTGCATGGGAAGCTGTTATGCGCATAAGATGTGGAAGAGGTGAACTATTATCCTTGTTCTGCTGGTTTCAGTGGCAAAAAGTCATTGCTTCTGCTTCAATTGTAAATAAATTGGTATATTGTTGGGTCATATGCTGATATTGATAGCAAATATATCTTTGTCTATCTGTAGGTGTTCGTTTTACATCTTATCATGGAAATTTTATGCTAAGATCCACGGACTTAATAGCGCTTCCAGCTGTTGACTGTGATAAAGCCTATGCAGCACAGCTATCTCTTGAAGAGACGCTACTGACAACACAATCAGTGTATTTTCAAGTTGCCTTACTGTATCCTTCTCTTGAAGAAGATTTTAAAAAAAGACACAGTTTTGCATAAATATGTGTGCTTCTGCTTGTATCCTGTGGCATAGTTGGGGTTTGATTTACTGTTATCATTTTACTAATTTTAGTAGTTACGCATCTAACAGCTTAAAATGTGGCCTATCTAACAGTTTAAGATTTTAGATCAAGTGGTTCAACATTGTATCAAAACATCTTGCAACCATTTAAATGCAGTAGTGCACGTGTTAGGCTTTGATGGAAAAAATACGGATCGTGCTTGTACGTGAGGGGCGTATTGGCCCTATCTAACAACTTAAGCTTTTACATCAAGTAGTTCAACACAAAACAAATATTACTAATTATTTTCTCTCTTCTACAGCCTCTTGGGTCCTCTTTGGAATGCTTCATAAATTTGAGGGGTCTGCTTATATGGCTATGAAACTGATTCCAATTCTATCATTTTTTTTTTGATAGTTAAACAATTCCAATTCTATCATTTTTGCATGTGCCAATATGGTTTTCCCCTATTTCATTTTGTTTAAGAATTTCTTATAATTTTGGTGATGTGTATTCATCATTTCTTTTTGATCCTTGGGCATGTTGATTGGAGTACATAAAGAATTTGACTCCTTTAACCCTTGGAAGATATACATCATCTTCTGGAGAAAGACGAATCAGAGTGCATACTGCAGAAACTCCAGTTGTTGCAGATCTAGGAGAAATGTATCGTCTGGCTGATACTGGGGCTATTGTCTCTTTATTTTCCAGGCTAGGTAGAAAAATTCTCCCTTGAGCACCCACTCCCACCCACCCCACAAAAAAAGGATCTGGTTTTTATGCGACTTAAAATAGTAAGTTGTTGATTAAAATTGGTCTTAAATGAGTATTATACAAATTGGTCTGCAGCAATTGAAAAAACTTTGTCCTACAAACTGGAAGAAGCTCGGAATGCCGTTCAACTTAGGATTGTCAAAGCCCTCAGAGAATATCGAAATCTTTATGCTGTCCAGCATCGTTTGGGTGGAAGGATGATATACCCAGAATCACTGAAATTCTTACCCTTGTATGGATTAGCATTATGTAAATCAACACCTCTCCGAGGTGGTTATGCTGATGCTCAGGTTGACGAACGCTGTGCAGCTGGCTATACCATGATGGCTTTACCTGTGAAAAATTTGCTGAAACTTCTCTATCCCAGCCTGATTCGTGTTGATGACCATCTTTTAAAAGTAAGTTCCTAAATTGCATTCACCATTTTTCTTCCTTGATGCAACTTATGCTGTGGATGCTGAAGCAAATCTTTCTCACCAATTTGCAGGCACCTCCCCAGACTGATGACTTTGACAACATTTTGAAGAAGAGGCTACCACTTACTGCAGAGAGCTTAGATACCAGCGGCCTTTACATATATGATGATGGGTTCCGGTTTGTCATATGGCTTGGCATGTCACTTTCGCCTGGTATAGCCAGGAATTTGCTGGGGGAAGATTTTGCTGCAGACTACTCGATGGTAGCTTCTTTTACAGTCTTAATATATTATCCTACATATTGCGAATGATCTATGAAGCAATAAGCTAAGCAACAGTGACATGTCAATTAATTGATGCATCATTTGTTTCCTGGGACTATCGGGAATCCACCTCTTAATTGATATGCCACATCACTATGGCTTAGCATAAGCTAAGAAACAGTGCTTAGGAGATGATTTCTCCCCATATAGTAACCTTTTATGATGTGATGAAAACTCTTTTTTTGCTGGGTGATGGTTTGAGTAATTTTCGAACTTTTGCTTTCAGCTTTTGACCCTTCCTCTGCCAAGGTAGGGTTTATTTTCAAAACTTTAAAGTTGAGGTGTACGTGGAGGTTTTTTTATTGGACAAAACGCCAATGTCAAAACCTGACTTTTCTCATTCTGGAACCAATCATTAATCGAGGGCTTAATATTTCTTTCATTCTTAAAGTTATCCCAGTCTGATCAACTTTCTCAGAATTAATGTTTTGCTTTGTCAAATATGTATTCTAGAAATCCTATTGAGCATTGCAATGCTTCTTAGAGCCATTTTTGGTGTTCTGACCTTGTATTGGAGGAAAAACTCCTCCAAGTGCAATTATTTTGATAATACTTTCTTTGTGTTACATTGGAAACAGTTATTAACTGCGTCTATCTATTTCCCAAAACCTTGTTTTGAAAGTGATATCTGGGAAGAAAATAAAAAATTAAGTCCTTTACCCTCTCCCCCTTTCCCTTTCCATAGAAAAATAAAAAATATAATAAAGCTTTAAATCCTAAAATCCTAAACACAGTTGGTTTTAGGAAGGAAAAAAATCCTAAACACTGCAAATACTAATAGGTTGCTTTATTTGCCGTCGCAATTTTCCTTGCTGTGAATCTTCTGATGTGGCTTTACATGTTGCTTCTGAAAACCAGGTTACCCTTTCAGAGCATGACAATGAAATGTCAAGAAAGCTAATGAGGATACTTAAAAAGTTTAGAGAGAGTGACCCAGCATATTATCAACTATGTCATCTCGTGAGGCAAGGCGAGCAGCCCAGAGAAAATTTCTTCCTACTTAAAAATTTAGTGGATGACCAGATCAGTGGTACAAATAGCTATGCTGACTGGGTTCTACAAATAAACCGACAAGTCCAACAAAATGCATAATAAACTGGTAATGGTCTTCTTGGTCATTAGTAAATTGCATCGTTTTTCTTTGGGAAAAAAAGGGCGTCCCTGCTAGCTCGTTTGGTAAGGAGGTTCATACTGAACATGATAGTATTAAGAGGGTGTTTGGTGAGGATTAAAATTAGATTTTTAGTGGATTGTGATAAAAGTTTTTGGAATGTGTGGTTGAAAAGATGTGGGACCCATAAAAGATGTGGTTAATATTGATTGTTTGACTTTGATTTAGATTAAAATCAGATTTTAATCCTGCCCAAACATGCCCTAAAGATGAAAAAGAAATTTAAATATTATACATTGCACTTCCAATCCCATCCAATATTATACAGCAAATATGTCCCACATGCATTAGAAGAGCAGGAATTTCCTTTCTTTTCTTTTGAGCATGGGGTGGGGTGAGGTGTAAAGAGGAATTTCACCTCAACACATGTTATTTCATGGAGTGAGTCACAAGTTTCCATAATTTTTCATCATAAAAACGGTGCAATTCCTTGATATTTCCGCTCAATTTAGTCTTATCACATTGTCATCACTTTGTTTTATTCCCATTCTAAGTCGTTTAAAGTCGGATCTTTTATCAATGTAATAGTGATGGCTCCTTTGCTGTCACAGCACGATATTATTTTCTATTAGGGAAATTAGAGACTTATGAAACAGAAATCTGTCGCGTTAAAGTTTTTGTTATGTTCAAAATCCAGATTTTGTATGTCATTTTCTGATTCTGATCCTATGAAAATTTTCGTTTCGACAGGACGTATTCTTTCCCTTTACCAGTTTCATGGTCCTGATGATTCTATCAACAGCTGCCAGCGCTAGTGTCAGTCGATTAACAAGTTTGAAGCAGATTTTAGCTGGCCATCAATTTCGAGAGGTTTGTGTATCCCAATAAGAAAACTTTGTTCATGATGAGACTACATAACTCGTATAATTTATTGGCGAATCAACGAACTATGGTCTACTATAGAAATGTCCATATCTATGAAGGTTTTCTGGATTTTAACTGGAAGGGATTCAATCAGGCTGTTGATCCAAGGTGTGGGGGATAAACTTTTGAGGTTGAAATAATAAACCTATAATTTTAAGTTATAGGCTTCTGTTTTGGGTTTATGACAATAATTGGTGGTGTACTTTTATGTTCATTGTTTTTAATTTTCTAGAAAATAGATGGATTTTAGTATGTAGATATTGATACTGAGTTATTGTCGTCTTCACTGCGTTTGGATGAATCCTTGCACTTGTTAAAACCTTATTTGAGCATTATACTATTTTTGTTTTTTGTTTTTCTGTATTTTTTTTATTTGTTTTGTTGCAAGAACATCAA